TTTATGTACATTTACTACATTTTACTGGGTTATTTGTATTTCTATTCATTTTATTATTAATTTTGATATTTCATTTATGGAAAAATGTCATAAATGAGATAATATAAAAATAAGATCATAAATTTCATAAATGATACTAATAGTTGTAGGTACCCTTCTCAGTTGAAATTGAAGAATCAAATTTCGCACGAAGAATTCGCAAAAATAAAGGCCGTAACAGCGGAGAACAACACTTAACTCGAATAATGTGACTTTTATTGTATTCTTGCTGGCCTTCCATACATTTGAATTACAGCCGTTTTATGGACACAAAAGCCATGTGAAATTATTTTTTTGTTTTTTGTTTTATATATATATATATATATATATATATATATATATATAGAGAGAGAGAGAGAGGGGGGCTGCAGATTGTTATAACTTAAGCTATACAACTGATAGTGCTATAAAGATAGATACATTTACTAACACCACTGACTAAACTGTACACCGTTTTCACTAATTTTAGAATATTTAACAACTTTAATGTAAAAATAATAAAATAATTTAAGAAATAACAAATAATTGTTTTAAAAATTCATTTTTCATCGAAAAAGGTTTTGCTTTCAGACAATATTATCCATATTCTTAAAAATAACTAAAAGTATTTGAAATTAAAAAATAATTTTTTTTTTTTTGTTTTATTGAGTTTTGTATCTTACAATTCAGAGCTGATTTTCAGGTAGAGGGGTCCGATGAAAAAAAGAAACATGGTTTGCTTTGATTTGTGCTTTTAATTGATATAACCACTAGATTGTACAGTATTGAATTTCTAGAGTTTTCATAAATTAATTATTTTTGTCGTTGACTTTAAAAAAACATATTCAAAATAATTTCCATCATTTGTGAGTAGTTTCTGAAAGTTTTATAAAAATCCGACAATTATTTTTATTTTTCCAAGATTTTCTGTCAAAAAAAAATGCGCTAAAATTTGCTGTTATTTAGTACTTCCGCTGACACAAAGAGAAACAAGATTTTTTTAATCAAAAGTTAGAATGTTCTAAAAAGAAGGAAAACGTTCTTAAAAATAATTAAAAAATACTTTGCTTTTTCCTCTTAATGCTATATTTTGACGATGAAATTTTGCTTTCATCAAGTTTGGGGGCTTTTTCATCATGCTCTTTTTTTAGCGATCTCATGGATGATCCTAAGTTCTGTTAAATCATTTGTATTCGATCGAAATCAACTTGATTTTCACTAATTTTAGATGTTTTTCGAAAGCTTTCAAACATCAAATTATTTTCAAACAAAAGCAACTCGATTTTAAATACTTTTTTGTTTTTTCGTAAGTTTGCAAACACCAATTTGTTTTATAACTTTTTGTAAGTTGTCTAAAAACCAGTTGAAACTGTTTTTTTCGTAAGTTTTCAAACATAAAGAGTTTCCGGTTGCAGTTAAGGACATACTTGGAGAAGTAACACAACTCAACTTGATTGAATTTGGCGGTTTTAATAATGTACAGAAAAGGTTGTATGCACAATAGATAAAATGAAGGCTTGCAAATATTATTTATAATTTATATTTGCGGACTTTACTGCTAGGAGAGTGTTAAAAGAACAAGTGGGTTTCGCGGCTTCTGTAATCCTTTAACGTCGGAGGGGACGGCTCCAATGTGACTACTGCTGTCAGTTGCAAAAGAGGAAGATTTCAGAATCAATTTTACCACATGGCCCCAAGAAGGGCTCTTGATTGGACAACAGCTAGCCAATTAGAATCCTGGATTGGTAAGCGTTTCCCGTCCAAGGGATTGCAGGAGAATTTATTGCATATTAAAGTTTGTTTGCATAACGTAGCTTCACTTTTTTAAATTCAAATGTTTAATGATAATAGTCATTACAAAGTTATCATTTAACGCTGTATGTAAGTAATTTTAATGTTTTTCACACTTTAAATAATACAAGTATTTGTTGTGACCTTAATATAATCATTTTCAGTCAATTTCTTTGTTTTCCTTTTTTTTGCACAGGTAAGGTGTCGAAATTAGAGTTATATTGATAATTTGAATGTTTTATGCTCGAATGTTTTATGCTCGAATTTTTTCCTTTCCTGATACTTCAGATTTTGTTGTAAGAAGGAAAAAGTTAGGTGCCAAAGATAGCTCTAGTTGATAGAGATGCTTAAGGCTATGGGTTTCTAATATACTCCATCGCCTCCTTTAAAGAGAATAACGTATTTTATTGTCATCTCTGAAAATTTCAAGCAAGTTGATAAAATAGGCATTGGTTTCGCAGGGTTCTTTACAAGAAATACACCATTCGTATTTTTAAGGTTCATTAAAAATCTACTTGTTGGTCTGTAACAAAAGAACTTTGGGGCAGTATAGCATGGTAGTTATTATGGGATCTGTTTTTCTATATTCAATTTTTACAGGAAATATTTGATGTTTATGAAAAATTACTGGCGACCTCCTGGAAAATTTCCATGCTGAACCTTGCAAGTACATAACCATTTTTATGTCATTCACAAATTGGATAATATCCACACCAATAAGGCCATGGATGTTTATTTGGTCACTGTTATCATCAAATGCTAAGTTATAAACAATTTCTAACAGGTTACTTTTAGCTTTTCCCAAATTGTCAAATTTGAATGCGATGTCAAAATCATCATATATTAAAACAGCCAGTGGAAGTTTCCGGCCTTTATTAACTTAAACTTCCAGAACAGTCTCGTGTAATTTTTTAGTTGCAGCACCTAAAATTGTCTTTACTTCAAAATCCCCGAGAGTTTGTATAGAGCATTTTAGCTTTTGTACCGCGTGTTTAAAAGGCAGCTTATTTTCTTTTACTTTTTTTTGTTTATCCTTAATTGTGAGGGCTACTATAAGGAGTATAAAGGAGCGATGCTGTGAGTTCACGTTAGGACACACGTATGAAAATAGGGACACTTCCATTTTGAGATTTTTGCGATACATGGAACTAACATGTCCTTTGGATTCATATTTATTGCATTTATGGTAGCTTATTCTGTTGTCCTGAGAAAGATTCTGTATTGTGTTTGTAGTACATTTAAGACACAGCTTAAGCTCTTTACATCTATTCTGTCTAGAACAAAATGTGGTGTAACTTGGACATCAGTTCATAGAATGTCTGCTTACGTTGTAAAATTTACAATCAGCTTTATTTAAGCTGATAGCAAAGTTCTCTGACTCGTTTTTTTCTCCTTGTATGTGATTTTCTGTTTCTCGTCACGAGATTTAAAGCATTCCCCAGAGTTACCGGAAGAACTTAAAGGTCTTCTTTTCGTTTTTGAAAGGGTTTTTATAGCTTTCCCGTGATTTTCAAAAATGCCCTTCATAGTGGAATAATTAGTTCCTACCCTATGCACCAGTTCTCGCCGAAGTATAGTGGGAAGTTTGAAACCCGGTGTATCTTCTTTCAAGAAATCTAAATTATATGTTACTTTTACTTTTATTTCTGATCGGCGCTTACTTCGGATAAATACAAAAAATAAATTCAAATAGTCTTATATTTCCAGTGCGGATGTTGTTGAAAGCATATCGCGTGACATCTTTCACCCAATAAAATTATTCCTTTCAATTCCTTTAAAAAAATCATACCCGTAGCTCTGCAGAGACTTTTGGGTATACATAAAGAAGAGAATTCTCAACACGAAGCACAAGAAACACTAGAAATTGTCCATTTTACGTCGGACAGTCAGGAGCAGCACAATAGTATTCAAGCCGCCACACAGGAACTTCTAACATACATATAACTGAGTATATATTTTCATTACGTTCATTTGCTTCTTCCTTTCTTTCCTTTAAGTCACATCAACGTACGAACACCTATTATAGACTTTCCTTTTCAAAGAACACATTTACAGACTCTTGCTTCAAACAACTTCATCTCACATGTGATCATTTTTTGACCTGTCATACAAATTTTTCCTATGAATATTATTTACTTTTTGTATGAACGAACATTTTTGTTATTCCAAGTATATAAAATCTTATCCTTGTTGAATCCAAACAAAAAGATAGGTTCTTTTTTCTGTACAACCCATTTTTTATTTGTTCTGAATGCTTCTGTATTTTTGCAATATAGATGTAGACGGAGTATATTTGAGAATCTTGTATGATTCCCCAACATGTGTGTATGTTACTACATACGTTGAAACCTCTTGACGAGTGCCCTGAACAATTACAAAACGTTCATAAATGAATCTGGAGTCGAAGTGCTAAATTTCGCATCAATCTGCTAAGTGACAAATTTTATTTGTATTAATGCTGTAGATAGATAGCAGTTCTATATCAACATATTAAAGGTGAATATGATGTGATAAATTCCATTACTTACTATATCTTACCCAATACAGGCTAAATATTGAAACAATATAGAAAATAAGTCTTTTCAAATAAAAAACATTTGAATTGGTTTGGTAATTTATGGCTTGTTAAGCAACTTTTATACCATTCCTGCAAATGTATGAAATGCAAATCTTGAAACAAGGTTAAAAAAATAATGGATCAATCTTTCTCATATTTTTTACTAACATTAAGAGAAAATCAATTTTCAAATTCATTTTTTATAATTATCACACAAATTTCTTGTAAAAACATGTAATGTATGACAAGTATTTGTTTTCAAATCATCTTACTTACATGGAAGATGTTATAGTGCTTGTTTTACACATTTCCTTTAATCGTGATTTTTTCTTTTTTTACTGATTCTGATTTTGGTGATAATGAAAGTAGTTTTTGAAAAAGTTATTAGTGTATTTCTTCTAAGATGTTTACTTGTAAAATCTGACTTTTGCTAAAGAAGTATGAAGTATAATAACCCATAAAGACTAATTTCTAATTTTTATAACAATTTTTTTGATGTAAACATAAATTAACAACTAGTATATTTTCAGATAAAAATTATTTACATATACATTGTCTCTTTTACTTCTTCATTATTTTTTACTTTTCTGAAATTCAACCTAACATTTTAAAACTCAAATGAAAGATTGAATTACTAAAACTTTTCCATTTCAATTTCTTCCTCAAACATTTCCTGCAACATCATGTGCATGGTTTTCTTACCTGCAAAATATAAGAGAAAATGTCACTTATTTGTAGATTTTAAAACATATTGTTTATGTTGAAACATTAATTTTGTTCCAATTTTTCAATCTAGAAAATGATGTCGAAAAATAATAAAATAACCATTCGTGCATGTGTCTCCGGCTATCTCTTCTCAATGCTGTAAGCTACCTCTTCTTCCTTTATCGCTCTCCATCCTCCCAAGACTGTGGTATAATTAAATACATTTCTGACAGCATCCGTTTGCTCACATATTCGTGTTAGGTGATTTTAACGTCCATCAAACCAAGTGGCTTAAAAACGCTACTACTGAGCTTGCAGGCATTCAAACCCTTAATCTTTCAATTTCTCAATCCCTCACGCAGATAGTTGACTTCCCCACACGTTTTCCCTACAACCGGGACGGTAAAGCTTCTCTTCTCGATCTATGTTTTACCTCCATCCTCGAGTCCTATAGCGCCAATTCTGATCATGTTGTAGTGTCTATCAACATCTCCTTCAACTCCACACCCCTGCAATGAACCTCCTACCCCTAGAACCTCGTTCTGCTATCAACGAGCAGACTGGGACTCGTTCCGAGATTTCCTTCGCGATGTCCCCTGGGATGTTGTCTTTACGCTTCCCGTTCAAGAATGTGCTTCCGAGATCTCCTCCTGGATTAAAGCTGGAATCGAGGTTTTCATTCCCTCAAGGAAATATAAGGTCAAATCGCACTCCCCCACCCTGGTTCTTGGCTGCTTGCTTAGCTGCCATTGCCCATAGGAACCACTTCTTCCACCTATATCGTAGCGACATGTCTGATTGCAACAGACGTCTCTTTGCCTCTGCCCGTAACGAGTGTAAGCGTGTCCTCAATGAAGGAAAGTCACTATTTGCTGCTCGAATGAAAGAACGTATTGCATCTCGCAAATTCGGCTCCAAAGATTAAGGCGTCTCTGCAAGAGCGTACTTAACAATAGCAAACCCTCTATACCTCCTTTGTTTAACCAGTTCGAGGTTCTGACCTCCTGCCGACAAGGCTGAATGCTTTGCTCGGAAATTCTCATTCAATTCGACGCTCGACTCTTTCGGTGTACCCACACCCGATTTCCACCTATGAACTGAGGCTCTATTGACCGAGATACACATAAACCCATCATCGGTATTGGGTATTATCTCTAATTTAGATCCCCACAAGGCTAGTGGTGGAGATGGGATACTAGCCATTGTCCTGAAGAAATGTGTGCCTGAACTAAATGTCTGACGCTCGACTTCTCGAGAGCTCCTCTTCACGACTAGTCGGCCCCACATTGACTGCTGACCTGAGATGGAACAAATAGATTGAGTCAATAGCTTCGTCCACCGCAAGGAAAGTTGGCTCCCTGTGCCGCGCCAGGAAATTTTTCTCCCCGGAATCGATCCTTCAGATCTACAAATCAACAATGCTCCAAATCTTCTGTAACCCCTTGCATCCTAGCGGCTTCCCGCCTTGCTTGGGGTGAAACGCTTTAAAAAAAAAAAAGATACACAAGAGCTGAAAAATATTCTTGAACAACATTTATATTTTAACTTCATACTCAGTATTTAATGTTAAAGAAGAAATTTTTAAGTAACTTCATTAAAAATTGTCTTAGAATGTGCATCTGATGATGTAATCTACAATATATAAAAGTATATAAAATGAGACATTTGTGTAAAAGAATTATAAAGATTCATTGTGCATTGTAGCAATTTTCAGAGGAAAGAAAACTCAAAATTTTCAAAGATGCATTAACTTTCGCACAAACCAATTGTTGCTTACAAAGATAAATTAATGTATACTTCTGTATAAGTTGACTTTATGTATTGTACAATCCCTGATGTTTTTGTATGAATTTTAACATGACACTGCATAATTTTAACTCCCTCAAAAAGTTACCTGTGTGTAGTGCAACTCCCTATTTTTTGTGTAAAAAACTGATCATAAAACCTTGCACTATACTCAACTATATACAGTATTTGAATTTAATTTGAATAATTTGTCAATTAAAATGCTTATACAGAATTTATTAACAAGTTTGTGTCATAACAATGTCAACAAAAATGAAATATTTTCTTAGAAATATTAAGAAGACTAAAATTATGATTTCTTAGAAAAAAAATATAGTTTTATTTTTTTTATTACATTCTCATTAGTCTATATATCCTATATAAAAATGCAATGATAACACTTACTCTTCTTTTTTATATGAAATTGCAGTCCTTTTGCAGAAGTGTTATCAGGTATACTTTCCAAATCAGAGTCGCTATCATCAGAAGTAAATGGTTTATCAGAACTCCTACAAGAAAAATTATATAATTACAAGAATATATCACATATGTTTAAAAGATGGAATGAAAACTAGAGTTAATTAAAAAACATTAAGGCAATTCTTAAGAAGATAATAATATGATACTAAATATTTATTTAAATATATCATCCTGATTGGCTGCAAAATATTATGATTTAAAAACAGACATTTTAGAAAGTATATATTAACATTAATATATACAAATATATTAAAACAATTAAATAATTATTACTTACCATAAAGTGCTAAATCAAAAAATTATGACAAAAACTAACCAGTTATCATTTCTTGTTTTTCAGAGTGCAACTGAAAACAAAACAAATAATTTGTGCACAACTAAAATGAGGGAGAGGAGAAATAATTCTTAGAAGAGAATTCAAACTACAAGTCACAAAGATCCAGAAGCTATTTCTTCTGTTTAGGGGAGGGCTGCTTTGATTTAATATACAAGAAAAGATATCTACTTGATACTGTGCACAGTATCAAGTGGATATCTTTCTTGTAAAACTGTATGGAGTGAAAAACTGTCCCATCTATTTGTGATCCTTTAGATTACTGAAGTTAACATAAGCTTTATCCAGTTAATCTCTCAAAGTCTGCAGCATGGTTATTTTTCTGCCAATCTAAAAATTGAAATTTATTCATAAAGACGTTCTGCATACCAACATTAAGTTAGTTTTATAACTATAGATTTATAACTTTAAATGTCTGTATGATGCTCAATATATAGGCAAATTGAGTAAAAAAAATTTCCCTCTTCCTACTTTTATGTAATGCGCAAATTCATGTTTTGTCATGAGATGCCACAAGGAAAGAATTATAATGTTTTAACTCCAGTGAACATCAAAAAAAATAATTAAAGATTTTTAAAATAACAGCAAAGCTAACCACTGTTTTGAAAAGTATACTATCATTGTTAATTTGTTAATATTAAGGACAAAATATTGACAGGATTTAAAACAATATAAGTGTCAATCATAGAAAATTGTCATTGGGTAAATTGTTCAGGAAAAAATGGCATGTCATCTCTCCAAGAAATGTCATCTCTACAAGAAACATGTTCAAAAGACTAGAACATTGGAGTGATTCTTTGCTTACACAAATGGAATAGTGAGCATTTAAATTCTCTTGTATAGATAGGAAAATAAAAGTAAAAGTATAAAATAAGTAAAAATAAAAATAGTAAATAAAAAGTAAATAAAAAGTAAATAAAAAGTAAATAAAAGTATAAAAATAAAAATAATTTCAAAAATAAAAAATAGAATGCTAAATGTTTGCAAACCATTTTGGTTTGCCATAAAAAAATAAAAACTAAAAGATAAGAAAGAAATAAGCAAATAAATAAAAGAGGTCAAAGGTTATCATTCCTAAATGTAGGTGAAGAAAAAGGGATGGTAAAATGAGACATTACTGGAACCAATCAAGAACAATTCCGGGAATGAATTCTATTGTCTTTAAAAAAAAAAAGTGTTAAAACAGATTGTTACAAGCAGACAAATGGACCAGATGGACCAGTCTCTGAAAAGAATTTCATCATCTGTCCCTTACCCTAAAGCTTTTTAGTGGGGCAGGTCAAAAGAATTACTGCTAGCAAGAAATACTTACATACCTACATACACATTAACAAAGACTCTTCTTTCTCTCCTCTCCCTATTTTTCTCTCTCTGTCTCTTTCTATCTATCTATCTATCTATATATATATATATATATATATATATATATATATATATTAAAAAGAAGAGAAGAGAGGTGCCGCAAACGTTTTTGGTTGTAATGTGGATATATTTAGAAAAAATATTATGCTTTGTTTTACATAATTTCACGACACGTGTTTCTTGTCTCGCGACCGTCTTCAGGTAAAAGTGGAGATTTCCACATATTATTAAAAATAATAATTAATTTTTCCTCGTGTTCAATGTTAAATATTCTCGATATGAGACATTTTCTGTTTGTGTGTTGGTAATCTGAATTTCCCTCTTGAAATGGCAATGAAGAGTTCTGCGCGAAGGGTCATAAAACAATTAAGGTTGATCCAGCGAGATGATAAATTAGTTATCGGCATTTTATCTTTTAATGTTTTACTGACCCCTATGTGCTCTTGGATCTGTTTCCATTTTGGTGCTTTTCTGTCAGCATGCGTGTATACATGCGTGCGTATATTTCCCCTCCATACATATACTGTTTTACTACGAGGAATTCGTAAATTTATTTGTACCTATACACGCATACACACCCATACGCACATACACACTATCCCACCACAAGTAATCAGTACACACACACACACACACACACACACACACACACACACACACACACACATATACACACATATTTCCCAAGCTACATGGAACCAGCACACACACACATGTACTTCTTAAGTTGTCAAGATCCGCATATACATACATAAATGTATGTATACATATCCTCGTGTCACCCGTATATGAGTGTGCGTCCATGTATGTGAGTGACCTGATCACTGTATTTGGTCACCCTGTGTGCATGTTGTGTGTTTTTGTGTGTTCGGGTTTAAATTTGTCTATAAAGTTTTTTTCCTGTATTTGTAGATACGAGTAATTGTCTGTTTGGTATATCGGCATGAAACTTACCCTGGTTACATTTGAAAATGTGTTATGATGCAAAAAGTTTTCTGTTGTCTGTCAATTTTATATTGCTTTTGTGTAGGGAGACCCTGTTGTTCAGTTGTTGGCTGATGCCTATATATGAATTCTTACATTTTGTGCATTTAAGTACATAAATTACATTTTTGGAGTTGCAGTTTAAGTTTTTATTTATTGTGAATGTTTTTTTGGGGGGTTTTCAAAAGTGTAGGAGTTTCCTTCTATAATGATGTCACAAACCCCACATCTTTTTTTGTTGCATTTTGTGACTCTCTGTATTTTGTGTTGGTTAAATTTAGACGAGGTTAATATGTGTTTTAAGTTTCTAGATTGGCGTTTTCTCTTAATTATTTTGGTTGTTTTTAGTATATTATTCAGTTTATTATTCTTGCTAAGTAAATCTAGATATTTTGTGACTTCTGGGAATATTTCTGGATTGTTTTTGTTGAGACATATGCTAGAGTTTGTTCGACGTTACGTTTCTTTTTATTTCTAAGTTGGTTTAGAGGAATTTCTTTCGCGAGTTCAATACCTTTGTTTATTAGTGTTGTGGGGTAGCCTCGTTTCTTGAGAGTTTTATGTAGTTCTTCTAAGCGGATTTTTCGGAGATGTTTATCAGTCACTATTGTACAAATTCTACGTGCTAGGGAATAGGGGATGGATTTTAGGCAGCTTTTTGGGTGATGGCTCTTGAAATGAAGGTATTGTTGTGTGTCTGTGGGTTTGTGGTAGATATCTGTGATTATGTGGTTGTTTTTATTTCTAATTCTAAAAATGGTAATTCGTTAAAATTATATTCTTGCGTGAATTTGATTTTTGGGTGTAAGTTTTGAAGTAGTGTATGGAATTGGTTAATATCACCCCATGATGATTTCAAAAGATGAAGCAATCATCTAGGTATCTTTTCCAAGATTTAGTGAATTGGGTCTTTATATTTGCCCCATATATTTGTTCTATCTTTTCATAGAGGTTTTCTTCTAGGTAAGCTAATGTTAGGGTGGTATATGTTGGTGCCATTTTTGTTCCCATCGCAGTACCCAGGGTTTGGATATAGTTTTGTTGTCAAATTCAAAGGTGTTATTGTTTAGAATTAGGTCTATACTATCGATAATGAACTCTTTAGTGAATCTCGGATGTAGTATTTCTGGATGTTTTTCAATCCAGAATGAGATCGCTTTTTTCCCTAGTTCATGGGGTATGTTACTGTATAGGCTACTGATGTCAAAAGTTGCTATAAGCGTTCCCGGATCTACCTTTTGTGGTATGCAGCTAAGGAAATGGATATCGTCTCTGATGTGGCTTTTAATTTGTTTAGTATATGGTTGCAATATTATGTCTATTAGGTTACTGAGTTTGCTAGTGGGACAGACTGGTCCTGCTACTATTGGTCTGAATGTAAGGTCACTGGGGTTTGGGATGCTAATGTATTCAGATTTTTTGTGTATGTATAGCTGCTTTTATTTCACTCGATTTATGAACTTTAGGTAGTCCGTAGAAATTACTTGTTTTGGTACAAAGTTTATTAGGAAATCCTTTCTTTTTTGTTAATATTTTATTATGTGTTGTGCAGAGTTTTGTAATTTTTGTTATAATGTTTTTGTCTATGTTAGTGTCAATTAATTTGTAGCTGTTCCTATCTTCTAGCGTTTCTAGAATTTTTGTTTTATAGTATGTTCTGTCCATGATTACTATAGCGCTGCCTTTATCTGCTTCTTTTATAATTATGTTATTATTTTTTCGAATGTTCTCTAAGGCTAGTCTTTGTCTATATGTGAGATTGTCGAATGGTTTGGATTTTTCCTGTAGGTCCAGGTTCCAGAGTTTTTCAAAAAATATATTTAGCTCATTGGTATTGTTATTTTTGTTTGGGAATAAATTGGATTTGTTTTTTACTAGTGACTCATCTGTACTATTTTCGCTATTGTTAAATATTTCTCTTAGTCTCAATTTGCGTTCAAATTCCTTAATGTCTTTTTTTAAGTCTACTATATTGCTTTTAGGAGCAGGGCAGAATTTTAGGCCCAATTTCAGTCGGTTGATTTCGTCATTTGTAAGTGTATATGTAGATAGGTTTATTATTTTGAGTTTTGTGTCATCTAAACTGGTTTTCTTTTTCGGACTGGGGCTTCTAAAAAATAGTGATTGTTTCTTTTAATATAACTTGGGTTTTCTAAGAGATACCTTCTTCCTGAACATTTTGAGTTTTCTAGCCAGTGAGAGTTTCCCTCGGTAAAATTGGGGTTGTTGTTTCTCGATGGCTCTATATAGGTGTGTTTGCTTTTGTTAGGGGGCCTGTTCCAGATGTTCCTAGGTTTGTTGTTTTTGTATGGATTGTATGTGGATTGTGTGTAGAACTTTTTGTGAAAT